GCGTGGTTTGAGATGCTCCGCAGGCTGCCCTGCTGCCACTACCGGGCTGCCTCTCTGCGCCGCCCCGGCACAGCGCCCGGGAAGCCAGGGCTCCCCACGCTTCGCCAGCGTGGTGTGCTAGCGAAGGCTCAGATGTTGTTGGGCAGTATCATTGCTGCTTTTATTTGCATTTCTTCCATTATTAGTGGGGACATAGTAACATATACGCATCCTCGGAGAAAAAGGGACGGGTCTGCAGGACTTGAAATAGGAAGAAGTTATTTCCTATGAGAGAAAAAAAAAATCCCAAAATGCTGCGATCTCCCAGGTCCTCCTCCTTCTTCAAGGCAGGAGGAGGGGCGTTCGGATGCTGCCACTGGCGGCTGTGACAGGGGAAGCTGTCGGCCTGTGATGAGAAGGCTCCCTGCGCCCCCTCACCTGCCCGGGGTCAGTTTTCTCCTCTGTAAAGTGGGAACCGTGGTACCCATCCCTTAAGGCCATTGCAAGGATGAAAGGAAGGGTGAGGGGCACTCACCCATCTGTGAAGCGGTATCTGCCGAGGGTCCCACCCGGCGAGGTGCCAGGGAGAAGACCTACCCTCTTGGGGCTTCTGGACCAGGTACCCCTAGGGCGGCCCCTCCCCCAGGGCAGAGGTGTGGACAGCCGGGTGCTGACGCCACGTGTGGGCACATGAGCCGCCGGGCCGCTGGTATTGTTTAGGACAAACCTGCTATCATGCTGATAAACTCAGCTGTCAGAAGGGATGTTATTTCTGGACAAAAGGAGGTTCTGCAGGACCGGGGCGCCTTCCTGCCCTCACCCACATGGGCCTGGTCCCTCTCACGATAGCCTGGGGCCTCGAGCCTGCTCCCAGCAGGGGCCGGCGGGGGCGGCATGGCAGGATGTTCGCGGCCTGCTGCGCGGGGCCTCCACAATGCTTCGGGGGCAGATAGAGCCTCCCCTCTGACCCGGATTCCTGGAATTGTCTGCTGGAGTGGAGGCCTGTTCTCTGTCCCCCTGACAGGTTGCATGAGATTAGGTTATTTCGGTCACACCAGCCATTTGGGTTTTTGGCCCGAGCGCGTGTCTCTTACGTTGTTGTGGTACTGAGCTGAGTGGCGTGGCTGGTTAAGCCTCCATAATCTGCTCTGTAATGTGCTGGTTCTGTTTTCAATTGTGATACTACCCTTGTCACCAGCAAAACTGGCCTCTCCGGTTCCACCGTGGGCTCAGCACGCCAAGCGCCCCTGGCAGCCATAAATCTGGGTCTTAACTAAAATCCTCGCTCTTGGCTGTTTCAAGTCTGATTCATTGTGTTTTGCTTAATTTTATCTTGCAGTAGCGTGTTGGGTTTTACTTTACAAAAAGTGCACAAATCCTAACCACTCAGCTCAATGCATGTTTACATGTGTACAGACCCCTGTGACCACCATCCACGTCACCCCAGAAAGTCCCTTCATGTCCCTTCGCAGCCCACACACCTCCGCCCCGCCCCCACCCCCTGCAAAGGCAGCCGCTGGCCTCACCGCTAGCTCCATAGAGTAGTTCTGCTGTTCTTGAGCTTCACATCAATGGGATCCTGCAGTATGTGCTCTCTGGTGTCTGGCTTTTTGCAATGAACAAAATGTCTATAAGACAGTTATCGTTTATGACCAGAAACGTAATACACGTTCATTGCAAAAATTGCAAATAATCTATAAGAGAAAGGACCACTTAACATCCTCACCTGCTAACCATTCTCAACCTTAGATCTCGTGTGTTCCTTACACACCTTTCAAGGCAAAGGAAAAATATTTTTCAACTTAAATCAACTTCGGTTATGCCTATTCTATAACCTTTTCTCGTGTAACACGGCGCTGCCCTCCAATCTCTTGGCTGAGTCGCCTTGGACCTGAGAGCACTCCCTTCTGAGGCCCAGTTTCCTCATCTTCATCTGTGTGACATGCAGTGGGGCGACCTCCCCTGCAGGACACCAGCAGGGGAGTGCAGGAACCCCCCGGGCAGCGCTGGGCTCTGGGTGGCCTTCGTCCAGGGAGGCGCCCCTGAGGCGCACCCTCCGGTCCCCCAGGCGGTTCTCAGGGGAAAGAAGTTCAGGCCCAGCTCTAGAGGGAAGAGCAAAGTCCTTTGATCCATGGGTGTTTCCTGATATTACAAGGCCTCTCCCAACGCTGGAGGATTTTCCAGAGAAAGTGTCCCGAGGCTGGGGACACAGGTCTGGGATGACAAGTGTAAAACCGGGCCATTGAAAACCTGCACAGATGCCTGGTGCCCAGGTGGGCCCTGGATGCTGAGGCCAGCGCCCGGCAAACACACTCGGTCAGCCTCCAGCTCTGCCGCCCCGCGCCCCTCACTGCGCTTGGGGCGGGACGGTCTGCGCTCTGGACAGCCCAGCCTTCCCCCCTCTCACGTCTTTGCCCCAAGGCCACATCCTCATGGGGCTCCCCTTGGCCACCCTGGCGAAAAGCCCCTTCCCTCCCCCAGCTCCCCACTCCCCACCTGGCTTCACGCTCCCCCCTTGAGTGTGGGCGCTGAGCCAAGCTGCCCGGCGCCACGTCTCCACTGCCGCCCCTGCTAGAATGCGTCGTCTCTAGATCCCTTGTCATCTACCACCCCACCTGGCATGTTGTAGGTGCCAATCAATATTTATTATGTGAACAATAAAATTAAAAAGTCCTATCAAGGATGAAACTCAACGCTACGTCTCTGCCAGGGGGCCTGCCGGGCAGCGGGTCCCGAAAACACTGAGGAAGTGGCCAAGGCCTCAGAGAGGGGCTCGCTGGGGGTGGGGCCCCCAGGGAAGACAGGGGCTGCCCCACCGGGTCATGGCCTTTCCTGAGAGGGCAGGATCTCCACACAGCTCATGGCCCTCGGACAGGCCAGCAAACCCCAGCGGAGAAAGGGGAACTGAGGCCCCAAATGACAAGGGGCCAACGGTGGAGAGGCAGGAAGCCCAGCAGCGGTAGGGAGACCTGAGCTCGGACCTGCCTCCGCTGCCCACAGGCTGCGCGGGCTCTGGCTCGCGGCCTCTGTCTTCAGAGCCTCAGTTTCCTCATCTGTAAAACGAGGCTACACGGGCTCTCTGGCTCCAGACCGTTGGGGGTACCCCGCTCTCTGTCACACAGGACAGCGAGCCCCTGGCAGCACCTGCCAGGGTTACAGAAGGTGAGAAGGGGACCTGCAGCTGGTCGTGGCTGCCTTTGTTGCTGTTATCTTTGGCCATCTACCCCAAGGCTTGTTTTGCGCTGATAAGAAGCCCAAGCCTTCCGTGGGCCCAATTCTTATTCAGAAAGTGCTTCTTCAGGCCTTTCGACGCAAACATTCTCACCTACCCTCCCTTGAGTCTTCCCTGTCCCATCTGTCCCCCAACAGCCCTCCTTCCTGCATCAGTTCTGCTAATGCTCACTGAACACCTACTATGTGCCTGGCACTGTGCCTTCAGGCTCCGGACCCCTTGAGAGGTATGTGTCCTCACACACTTGGTTGGGTCTTTCTGGCCCAGGCGACCCTGTGTCATTGCCTCCCCTAGTCCGTGTTTTCATCTGCCAAGCGACTGGGGGGAGACCCCTATTTTTAGGCTCCTCACTCCCGCCTGCGAGGAGTGAGGCTATTGGGCACGGCCAATGCCACCAGGTTTGTGGGGCTGGATGATAATGGGGTTGAGGGGAAGCCCCCAAAGCAAAGATTACAAAATCTTGGGAGGCCAGGGCCACCCCAGGGAGGGAGGGGCCTTGGAGCTTAGTAAGAGTTTACTAAACATTTTAGGACTATCCTCTCTGATTTTCCCCCAGACCGCTCAGCCCCGGGGCCAGGCGTTGGTGGGGCAGGGCGTGGGGGTTGGAGGTGGAGCTATCATCCCAGGTCTCACAGGGGGAAGCAGAGGGCAAGGAGGAAACACTGTTGTACCTCCAGATGGGAAGCAGTGAGGGCCCCCAGCAGGGAGCAAGTCAAAGAACTAGGATCAGAGAGCCCCCGACCTGGCTGCTCACACTCCTCAGAGGCTGCAGACTGAGGTAAACAAGCCTTGTTGACGAGTTCCTGGGACAATGGCTACTTTGTAATTCCGCCTGTCTCCCCCACCTCAGCACAGACCTGTCCAGCTCCACAACCCAACCTTCCCTAACACCCGCCCTGGAACCTTTCTGATTTCTCTTCCCTCCCTCTCCAGGGCCTTTGGGGGCGTCTCTGCCCCCCCCCCCGTCCCCCCCCAACCCCCGGCCTGCCCGCCCCGCCATTCCTCCCTGGGTCCAGGAACCCCAGAGGTGATAGCGGGCAGATCCCACTCTGGGCAGCAGATAAATGGGGGCGCCGAGCGGTGCAGCGGGAAGGGTGGGGTGGGGGAGGGTGGAGAGGGGGGAAAAGGGGCTGTTTCGTGGGCATGGGGGCTTCTTTTACCAGATGTAAAGTTCCCGAGATGGATGGTGGCGATGGTTGCACCTTATGAATGTATTTAATGCTACTGAACTGTATCCTCAAAAGTGGTAAAGGTGGTAAACTTTGTTATTTTCCAACAATGAAAATAATTGAAAAACAAAAGAAAACTCCCGGAACTGCCAGCACAAAGAACACGAATACGGGAGCACGGAATTCTCGGTTTATTTAGCAAGCCCTGCCTTCCTCGCTGAGCCTCAGTTTCCTCAGGGGTGAGATGGGCGTGAGAGCGCACCGAGCGCTCGGGACTGCTCTGAGGACGAAGCGGGGTGCGTGGAAAGATGCTGGTGTTATACACGCCGACCAGCCAGGGGGTCCGTGGACAGGGACTCATCGGAGCGTACTGCGTGCACGCCCTGCTGGGAAGAGAGCGCTCGCGACCAAACAGCCCTGCAGCAGGAGTGGCGGGAGGCTGTAAAGTAAACAAGGACACATCATACTTGTAGCAGTTCTGTTGCTAGTCGTCCTGAGTCCCATTCAGCCATCGCGCTGGGTGCCAGGTTCCGCGCGCTGGAGCCCGAGAGGCGGCCCGGGGGCGGGCCGGGGCGGGGCGCGCGGTTTATATTGTCGCGCGCGGGCTGCCAGCTGCACACAATACGCCTCCCGGCTGGAGCGCTCCGGGCACCGCCACCATCGGCTCCGCCACGGCCGACGCGAGGTGAGTCCGAGCCCTGCCGCCCCTGCGGGACCTGAACCCCGCTGCCGCCCGCCCCTCGCCCAGCCCGACCCCGGAGTGCTGCCCCGGGTGCCGAGTCGCTGGAAGGTTGGAGCCCTATAACCTGGCTTTTCCGGGAGGACAGCTGTCGCATGTGTCACTTGCCGGCGACCTTTCGGGACACCGACTCCGAAACTCCCCCTCTCAGGCCAGGACTCCAGGTCCCCGCGGGCGACGGTGCCAGCCGCGGCCCCGCGGGCCTCAGTCTCCGCATCTGAGCGATGGTGCGGCCCCCGTGCACCCCGCCGGAAGGACTGGATGCCCTCGCCCCGCTCCGCCCTTCTGCGCGGCCTGCGGGAGCCGGGCACCCATGCCTTCCGGGGCCGTGCCCACCGGCCCGGAGCGCGGTACCGCCCGCTCGGGTGTCCACTAAAAAAGGGAAGATGGCGTCGGGCACTGTCCCCGCGGGACCGGCGGCGCCGCGATTCGCCGCGCACCTGCGAAGAGTCGGAGACAGGCCTGATTACGGGACGCAGGGGAAGTCCGGAGCGGGAACTTGCGCGAGCGGGGCGCTGCCGTCACCCCACCTGCCCGCGACCTGCACAGGTGCGTCCTGCACAGGTGCGCCCGAGGGGGCGGCGTACGAGCCCCGCGGGGTGCTGCGGCCTGTTCCTGCGAACCGAGCGCCAGCCGCTCGGCGCTTGGATGGCCGCGGCGCGCGGTCCATCCGGTGACCCGCAGGGTTCCTGCCGCCTGCCCGGCGCGGCCCCGACTGCCGGGCTTAGGGCTCTTGCGACGTGCTCAGGCCTCCTGGGCTCGAGTCGCTTTGTAAACCGTTAATTGTTACTGTAATTTTCTCAAGCACAAGCCACCCCGGGGGGGGGGAGGCTGGACGTTGTGGTTGTTGTTGTTTTTGTTGCTGCTGCTGCTGTTGTAACATTTTTTCGGAGCACCTGCTGCTTCTGAGCCCTTGGAAGTTTTCTCCATCAGCTTCACTATGGGTCCCCAGGAAGAAGGAGTCTTAGCCTCCTCCTCCCTCCATTACGGAGGGAAAGACTGTTGAGCTCTGTGCTTGGCCGGCTTCAGGATGGGGTCCCATCTTACAGGTGGAGAAGCTGTGACCTCCCAGGTGGCCATAAATGCTGTTTTGCTGGAAGCCCAGAGCCTTGTTCTGGAAGCCAAGCAAGAGCCTCCCGCTTCGTCACTTTCCATCTGTGTTGCCTTGGATGGGCTGTTCGGCCTGGTAGCCTGTTTGCTTGCTCTGTGAAATGGGTGCACGAGGTTTTTGAGCAGGTGCAGAGAACACCCATGTAGTGTTGGCTGTGAGTGACTTCCCTGGAGTTCTCACTTAAACCTTAGTCTCCTTATTGTGGGCATTGCTGTGCTGGTGCCACCTGGCCCTGGTTCAGTAACCAGTCTGTCTGAGGCACTGGCTGGGCCTGGGTCTGCCTGCTGGCGCCTGGCGCGCGCTGCCCTTCCCCTCGGTCTCGTGTCTCCTCCACTCGTCCCCTGCCTTCTCACTCTAGGATTTGGGGATTTCCCACTTGCCCACTGTGCTGTGAACCTCAAGGGCGCAGGGTTGTCACGGATTGATTACCTGTGGCGTCTCCAGCATTACCAACCAGCCTTAGGCTGCACACGTTTCTCTTTGCTAGTTTTTGTTTCACTATGTCTGCAGTCTGGGGAGACTGGCTGCCGGGCTGTGGGCCTTCAGCCAGGGCCTCAGGATGTCCTCCTGGCAAGGGGACAGAGGCAGTAAACCTTCTGAGTGGGTGCCAGTTGGTCTTGTTTTGGGCGGGGACTGTCTCAGCAGGGATATTCTCCAAGCACCCGGATTCCGTGCGACGGAGCGAGGCTTGAAACAGGTGGAGTGGTAGCGCTTATCTCGCCTTTGAGGGTGTCACTCTCACCATCTTTCTCTGCCGCCCCAGCTCAGTGGCTGCCTCCTCTGAGAAGTCCTCCCTGACTGCCTCCTCTAAAGGTGTGCTGCCCTCCCTGTCTTGCCTCCAGCTCCCCTGTCCTAGGACCTGATTTAACTGCCTTCAGGACACTAAAGACCCTGTGAAAAGGTCCTTTTGGGCTCACTCGGGGTGACTCGCGCCAGCCTGCGGCCCCGTGAGAACAGGGGCACCCAGTGTCACAGTCTGGTCTGCACTACGCTGGGGAGAAGCCGGATGGAGGGTTGTATGCGTGTTAATTGCTGTCGGTTTTTGGGTGTTTAGTAGCGAAAAAGCTGGATTCACTGAGCTGCAAAGAAACCGGAGAGCAGAGGTGGCCCAGGTTTTCACTTCTGCTCGTCTGTCTAATGACTGGCGGGGGTGTGGGGCAGGGACCCCTTCAGTGTGTCTTGACGCTGACCTGGGAGGCGTTTGCCCTCTCCCTGGAAAGCATCCTGTTTGTCGCAAACCTATTAAGCTCGTAGACAATTAATGGCTTCTTGCTTCCCCTGCCTCGGACAGAGGATCCCATGAGAGTCTGGCTGTTTTTCCCTCTGCTTAGAACAATTCCAAGAGGTTTCAAGGAAGTGGCCGCCACGCTCGGGTTTTGTTGTTGGCGGCCACCAGGAAGCCTGCAGTGGTCTGGGATAGACGCGGGGACCCTACTCCTTGTCCCCCTTTGTCCTGCTGCGGGCTGGTGGGGGCCAGGCCCTGGGAGAAATACGAAGGCGCGCAGATACAGCCTCCGCAGGCCTGCCTTCCCTGTTGGCCCCGAGGCAAGAGCAAGGCCAGGCCTGGGGGCCAGGCACTGGGCGGGCTCAGGGAGGGCAGCTGATTTTCCTAATGTCAATATTAGGATGTGACAACACAAAACACCCGCTGGGCCTCGCAGGCACTGCGCGGTAAACCTGTTTTTCTGGAGGCGGGTCACCCAGGAGGAGAGGCGTGCGCTCTGGAGCGAAGAAAAGCCTGCCTGGCTCTTCGGGGAGGCGCACTGCGGTGCGGAGAGTGAAGATGGAGACTTCATCTTTGTTTTTGATTTTCTTCCTCAAGAGATGACCTGTGTGTGTCTGGTTTGGAGCGCAGAAGAGGTTCTCTCAAGGCAGGGCAGAGAGGTCTGTGGACAGACATCCCAGGCCGGACCCCGGGTGCCGGCGCGGTGGGGCTCCGGGCTCTCTGGGCATGCGTGAGTGCTTGCTGCATACCGTGCATGCGTGCAGCTCTGCCTCACAACGACCGCCCCAAGGTCCCCACGTCCGCCCCTTCACAAAAGGTGAGGGTGTGTCCAGCCTGGGGTGCCCCAGCTCGGCTGGCCTGTCCCCGTGAGCCCAGGTCCCGCTCCCTCCTCCTGTTTCACAATGGGCTGCCTGGCTCCCTGGCTGTCTTCGTTCACTCGGTCCCTGCCCTGAGCAGGGGCAGACAGACAGGTAAACATTTAATGAGACCATAATGGGCTAAGTGCCCAATCCAGGTCTGTTTACCCAAGGTGCTGGGACAGCAATTAATTCTGTCGGGAGGAGCTGGGTCTGGGATGGGCTTGGAGGAGGGAGCAGCTCCCCGCAAGCCAGCCTGCCGTGGGTTGCAGTGAGTCCAGGGGTAGGGAGGGGGCTGGGCCCTGTGGGGCAGAGGACCTCGTCCCAGGGAAGGCATGGAAGCCACCAAGGCTGCTGGCAGAATCGGTGAGTGAGTGAGACCCCTCAGAGGGCACCGCCGGGAGACCCTACACCGGACGACGGAAGGAGACCCTGAGGGCCATGTCTGTCTCTCTGAGCCCCTCCGTCTGGGCCTGGCAGGACGTAGCCCCGTAGTTACTTTATTTTTCTTTTTTAAAAGATTTTATTTTTAGAGAGAGGGGAGGAGAGAGAGAGAGAGAAGTGTTGAAGTGTGAGATAAACCTGTATCTGTTGCCTTGCATGACCCCAACCTGGGACCGCGGGCTGGAGCCCAGCCCCCGAGTCACACCAGCCAGGGCGCCGCTCAGTTAACTTTAAGGACATGCTCCTCAGACTTAAACTGCAGACCAGCTGGAGGGCTGCTTGCTGGGGTCCACAAGGTCTTTTGACCTGCCCCCCGCCCCCTGTTTTCTCTGTTCATCTCATTGGCCTGTTGATCATAACAATCCCACACACCAGGTGGCTCCTGAGCAACAAGATTTATTTCTCACCGTTTCTGGGCGCCGGAAGTCCAAGGTCAGGCTGCCAGAAGCTTCCCGAACCTCCATAGGGAAGGGAGAGGCCTCCTGGGCCTCTCGGAAAAGCCCTGAAGGAAGAGCCTCCTGGAGACCCCACTTCCTTTAATGCCGTCTCCATGGCATGGTACCATGGGGATTCAATGTATGAATCTTTCCGACGCTTGTTTTAGAAGCGAGGAATCAGGAGTCCAGAGGGACTAAGGAAACTGTCCCAAGTCTCATGGCCAAGCTGGGCGAGAACCCAGGCGTCCCCAGCTGAGTGCCCCTTGGCGCCGCAGTTTCGCCCCGCGGAGCCCGACGGCGGCCCTTCCCTGCCTGCCTGCGGGCCGCGCTGGCCTTCCTCTGTGGGGGGACACGGTTGAACCGCTGGGCCGTCTTTCTCCCCTGTACCCGGCAAACTAACGGGAACAGCGCTCGCTCGGGGCAGGTGTAACGGCGGCACAGGCACAGGTATACTAGTGTCTTTTTGAGTTCCTGAGGGGTCGCTACGCAGCCTGAAACACTCGGGGAACATTGGAAATGGGAGCGGATTCGCTTCTACCTTGCCTCTTTGTAACGCTCTGAGGGTCTCAGGGTTTGAAATCTGTAATCCTCTCTCCAGCCCAAGGGCTGGGCCCTCATGATTCCTGTGTTATTGAGGAAATGGCGATCGGAGAGGTGGTCACGTGCCCAGGGTCGTGCAAGGACAAGGTCCACACATGAACTGCTGCGTTGGGGTGATATGTTTAATTATAGAAGTAATTGTATTCTCGTTAGAGATAACACTGAAGCCTGTTCCTCTGTCCCTTGCCAACCCACCCCATGAATTCCATGGGCCCCTTCAGAGGTAGCCACTGAGGGACATGTTTCCTTCCAGACCTTCTTTGCATTTCCAT